GTTTAATTTTGATATTCAATTATATGATGAATTGAGTAACAAAATTAGATGAAAGAATGATAGTGAATATACGTTGACAGACGTCTTACATCGTCACATACTGTATATCATTATGAACAGATAGAGAAAAAAAAAGAGACAGACTATATCGATCATGATCATTAAAACTACTGTAATATCAAGCTTCATTTTTGAACTATAATTTTTTTTTACTATTGTTTATAATACGTTCACACGTGTGAAAGCAAATGTAGTTGATTGATTGATATGTAATATGAGACTTCATTTTAATAGATTAACATAATAACCAATCGATAGAAATTCAACACAGATGTCATTAGTTTTGTTCCGCCAGTTAAAAAAAAGTGACTAAAATCATATATTTTCGTTAAACTGTTAAATATATGGAGAGAGAAAAAAAAATACAGATCAACAATATTTAAATTCTTACGAAAAACATTTTTAATTAATTCAATTAGATTAACTAAATTTCTAGAGAGGAAAAAAATAGATGATTATATAAGATGATATTTATTATTTACTTAACTGAATAGTAATAAAAATACAATTGTCTTCCTAAAAAAACAGTCGAACTCTATCCTGCAGTGCTTCTAATATAATTAATACAATATATAGTATACATTACTTTTATCAAATAGAATGAGTGTAACAAATTTTGTCGGGGTTGTTTGAGTATATATATTTGTACCAATCGTTTATATTCGACAAGGTAACCAAAAAAAGAAATGCACTTTGTCCTTCATTAATAAGTAAAGGTGCAAGAAACTAGTCTATTTCTACAAGAGTATATGAGAAGTCCTTCAATTTTTGTCCCATTTCATCATTTTGCAATTCGTCGTCTATTGACCTCGAGCTGTAGTTTCATAGTAACAACAAAATAAATGACAATAGTATAACACTTGCTTTGACATTTTTTCATTACTGTAATAAAAAGCTTGTCAATTATGGAAATAACATCAAACATACAATTTGATTGACAATCTAGAGTCTGAATCAAGCTCGAAAAATCTTTTCTTTTCTTTGTTCAGGTATTCTATGGGATAGAAGAAAGGTTGAATAGCTTTCAACAAGTTGTCTCAATTGCCATATTTGATTAAAGATTTTTCTATATTCCATATGAGACAAAAATGACATATGCACGACCTTAATGTTTCATATCATTCAATCAATCTTATCTTTGACATAAATTAAAATTGAAATTATCTTTTGTTAGATTCATCCAAGATTATTTCTTCAAAAGTTTTTGAATTATACCACAAAAAAAGAATTCATATAATTTTCTAAATGAAATTTAATCAATATGTTTAATAATAATATTACAAAAAGAAAAACATATAGATCGATCGTTTTTAAATTTATGATAATATCTAATCTATGTCTGGCATTGAAGATGAATAGAATTGATTTTTTCCTAACATTGGATAGTATTTTATCTGGCATAGACATATTTATTTTATATTGAGCTCGTTCACCGGATTGATCAAATATGCAAAGAAAAAAGTGAATACTAGATTTTCACGCTATAGATCCAGTTGGTTGTAATTGTAAATGAAGAAAATGTTCTGCTATATGTCCAACATTCGCAATATTTTTTTGTATAACAAATCTAATTGGATCAAAATATAATGGATCACGTATAATTGTTTGTTGTTGTGTTAATAATTTTGTTGTTAATAATTGTTGATTTTGTTTTAAATAATTCCATATATTTGATAAAAGTGTAAAACAATCATAACATGTAACAAATGGAAATAATTCATAGATTTCATTTAATGGTAATGGTAAATAACGAGCCTTAGAAAATACAAGAAAAAATTAGAAATCTTTATTTATTTTTCTTTCTTTCTTACTTTTTTCAGTAAGATAATTAAATTAGTTGAAAGTGTTAATTGTTTTAAATATGTTGTAGCTCGATCTTCACCTCGAACATTTTCCCATTGTACAATTAAAGCACTTAATAAACATCGTATTATTGGTAAACATAATTGAAATGCATTATTATCTAGAAAAGAAATAGTTATTTTATTATAAATTTTATAGAATTTAACCTGTAGCAATTATTTCCAATAATATCCATACAAGTGGTTGTTCATCAAGACGTCGAATTAATGCTAAATTTCTACAAATGAAAAAGATACTATCAGTTTTATATCGAAAAAGTTCGCTCATATTTAATGTTGACAGGGCTAGATAATCGAATGTCGTTATCAAGAAGAAATCCTTGTCAATTATCACGTCTCGTTATAAGAATATTACCTTTCATTTGGTGTTTTACACTGATCATCATCAAATTGTACATCAACTGTTGAATCTGGTAAGATATTATCAATTAATGTTGTTACTAAACAAATAAGTAATTGTTGTTTTTGTGAATTATCATTATAAATTAGTTCATTAAAAACATCTGTCATTAACATTGTATATTGATCAATATACTATACAGAAGGAAGAAAGAAAAAAGGTAAATTCTATTAGAATAATTCCTGTTTAGACTTACTTCAGGTGGAATTTTAATAAATCGATCATTTGTAAGAGTTTTTCTAAATGAACGTGATAATACACGATTTGAATTCAGTGCATTAAAATTTACATTTTGTTCTAAAAGTGAACCTGAGTTATCAATTGGTCGACGAGTTAAATTTGTATCATCAACTTTATCAAATGGCTAAATAAAGCAATATAAAGAAATAAATACAAAATAAATAAAGTATATTTACACTTAATTTTGGAATAAGAAAATCCATTAATGTTATTATAACAAATAGATGAAAATCATAATTATTGAAATGTATAAAATTCAAAAGAGTATCACGCCAAAGAAGTAAATTTTCAATAAGATTATTTTCATTATCTTCAATTATTTTTATATGTATATCTGTAAATGAACTTGCTATTTGTAAGATTTGTTCATATGTTGGTAAAATTTCATAACATTTTAATTGTAAAAATATTTGAAGAATAATATCGTAATGTAGACAATTTTCACTTAATAATCGACTAAAATGATCAATCAATGACCATATGATAGATTGAATTGAATGACTAAAAAAGATTATAGAAAAAATATAAAATTAATAAATAAAATAAACGAACTTATTTGATAATGATGGACGTTCATCAACAAGAACTAATTGAAGAAGATTTTCAAGACATATGGATATTTTTGATGAATTATTTTGTTCAAATATTAAATTAAGTGCATCATGAAGACAATTTGGATGATAATATTCAAATTCAAGATGTATATCTTGAAGAATATCAAGCTAAATTGGAGAAAAATATCATATAAATATAATTCGAAGAATTCTATCTTACTGAAGTTTTATTTGTAAATATATATTGAATGTATTTAATCATTGTATCATCACCATTATAAAGTGCAACATTAAAACATAAATCATTAATTAAATGAATTTTTTCTGAACTTTTTGTATAATTCAATAGATCGAGAAGATGATCAAATGAAGTACGTAATGCCGATAATATGGGTATAGTTGGTTTTTGATTATCTTTATGTAAACGAAATTTACAATGACATTCATGACATAATTGTTGTAAAACATATTTACAACAATTACGTAATGTTAATTCAATTTCATCTGGATCTATGAATAATTAATAAAATAAAAAATTATATATAAAACTGTGAAATTATTATTACCTGTTGATATTTCATCATGTATAAAACTGAGAATAAATTGAATTATTTGAAATGCATCAGTTCGTATTCGCATAAGTCCAGATATAAATTCATTCGTTAATCTTTACAAAGAAAATAAATCTTTACTTCAAAAAAAACTAAATATTTACTGTTCAATATCTATTGTATTTGTTTGTCTTATTGATGAACATAAACGACGTAAACTAAGTGTATTCAATGATCGATAAAGTGAATAATAGACAATATCACATAGTGGGCCAGTAACAACAACAAATATCATTTGTATTAATGAAATAATTGAAACATGTTTTTGAATATCATCACTGATTAATAACGACTTAAATATAAAATTAGTTATTGAAATGAATAAAAAAAGCAACACAAACTTGAATTTGTTCCATTAAAACTTGACTGAATATTTGTGGTTCTTGTTCTGCAATAACTTCAAGTGATGACCAAACCGCATAGATTCTTCGTACACCATGTACTATTTGTGATTGATTGGTTTCTTGTAAACTAAGTTGAATTAAACGTGATATTAAAGTTTGACCACAACGTAAACTAAATTATAAAATAAATAATTCAAAATATGAATAAGAAATAATTTTCTTACGTTAAAGATACTGTAACCCAATCAAATGAAGGGCGACTAAGTATTGATGCTCCAAGATATTTATTTAATGCATTATCAGCTGCTGTTGAACTAGAAATATATACATATATATAATTAAATAATAAAATGAATCGAATATATACTCATGTAAAATACATGCTGAACATATTTTAATCAATGTCATTGCTGCTTGACATTGTGTCCATAATTGAATACGATCTTCTAATGTTTCACATTTTTTAATATTTGCTTCATTAGCAAATCGTACTGTTAGATCAAATAATTGATCGATTGACCACTTAAAACAAAAAAGATACTATATTTATTATGGAAACTTTTCTTTTTTCTAAACTTACATGAGCAAGAATATTAGCCCAACTATTTGATTGCATAGCTAATGAAGTTAATTTTGATTCAATTGTTATTAATAAATCACTTACACCTAGAAGATCAAATTACCGAAAAAAAATTTTTTTTTTTGAAAATATTTTACTTGCAACTAATGATACATTTTGAATAAAACAATGTACACCAATACTAATTAATGAATTAAAATAATCAAAAATAGCTTCACGTGCTGATGGAAATGTTGTTAATAAATTTAAACAAATCGAACATGTCCGTTCAATATTCGCTGGTGTTGTTAATGTACGAGAATCTGTTGAATGATGAATAAAAAATGCAAAATCTTGTGCTAATTGATTCGATGATGATGATGTCATCTTTAAATACAAAAAAGAAAAGAAACAACGAACATTTATTTTATTAATTTAAATAAATTGATTTGCTTTTTTTTTGTATTCTAATATATAATTGTAAAAAAAAATATGTATGTATGTATATATTTATGTATGTATATTTGTTTAAGATCTTTTATACAATCGATTAAAACATGCAATTTCGTTTACGAATTGCTAAATGACCATCATGTAAAAGTGAAAGACTAACACGATGTTTGATATTTGTTCCTGAACGACGTATAAGTAAATCATTTCGACCAACTGTTAATACAAGTGCAGGAACAATTTCAAGATCATCAAAAACTAAAAGTATTGGTGAATTACGTGAAAACCATGAACGTTGATACCATAAACGTCCATCTTCAATACGAACATCGATAAGAGATTTTTTTGTTGATAGATCATCAATTTTGCTTTTTTCTATTATTGTTTCAATATGACACAAATCTTTTTGAACATTTACAATATCTTGTTCAATATCATTACTCGATAAACAACGTTGTAATTCAATACCACCAAATGGTGGTAATAAAGAATTACTTCGACTAAATATTGATAGATCTTTTAATGATGCTGCTGGTGTTGTTAATGCATTTTCAGAATTTAAATCATTGGCGGCTGCTCGTCTTAGATTATATGTTGGACGTTGTTGTTGCTGTTGTTGAATAGATTCATTTGAATGATGATTTTGTCCATCAGATGGAATAACATCATTAATATCATTCAATCTATTAAGCATAAATTGATCATTATTTGATAAAGAACGATAACGAATATTAACATTTTGATGTTCATAATCTAAATAACGACGTTTATCATTAAATTTCGATATTAATTTTGATTTAAAATCAATTTTTTTCATTTGAAATGTTTCATCGGATTGACGTACTTCATGTTTATACATTTGTTCAATTGTATGAGTTCGATAAAAATGCCAAAGATTTAAATTAGTTACCTAAAATAAAAAAAAATAAGAATTATATATAAAGATTTTCTGAACTAGATCTAGCAGATTTCGTCACGATAGAAAAACAAATCGGTTGCAGATATAAATTTACTTGTTTATCATGTAATCTTGATAATTGATTTAAACGTTTTTTATATTGCACATTATGATCATCATTTTCATTGATATCTTGTTGTTCCATAAGAAGATTACTTGTAGCATAAGTTAGTTCTCGTTTAGTTAAATTTCTTAATTCTTCTCTTAAATGTTTTAAACGTTTTTCAATCATTTTTAATGATATTTTTCCATTTAATAATCTATTCGATGACGATGAAAGTGATGATGATGCTGATGGTCGTACTGATTCAATTGAACACATAATAAATAATGTTTTTCTGTTCTTTTAAAAATAAACAAAAACTGTCATCTAGAATAAATCAACGAACCAAAATACTATCAAATCACTAAACGAGAAAGAAAAAACAAAAAGAACGAGAATATGCTATATTACATAAAACAAAAAACAACAACAGCATATCAACTTAATTTTTTTATACGATATATACATATAATCTAAGTACATATAGAACAAAAGAAAAAGAATTATTTTCGACTGTTTGTTATTAATCTTAAATCATCTTCACATTCATCATCTTTAACAGTCCATTTTGGTAATTGAAATATACTAAAGGCACCAACAAGACGTTTTCGTGCTGCTTGTTGTTGTGGTAATGGTGATAATATTCCACTGGTGCCAATATTATTCATAGTTAATAAGGCGGAAAATTCGTCGTCATTTACATTTGATGATGATGATGTTGCTTGTCCCATATCAGGTCGTTGTCGGAAATTATATGCTTTAGCTTGTAAAGGATGCGGCGGTTGCATAGTAACAAGTAATGGATCAGCATCGAATGAACGTGAGTGTATATCAATTGCTGAACGCATTTCATCAACAACTAATTTACGTTTACGTCGAAGACGATCAAGTAAAATTTCTTTTAATTCACTTTTTTTTGCAGCAAAATGTGCACGTGTACAACGTGTTTCTAAATCAAAACGACGATCAATACGTTCTTCTTCGATTTTATGACGAGCTTTTAATTGTAAACAACTATAATGATAAGTTTCAAGTAAAGATTTTAAACGATTAGATTCAATTGATGAAGTATTTGCATTTTGTTGTTCAAGTGCTGCTAATTGAGCATATAAAGTAACTAAATGTGAATCAATAATTGACGATGTTGAGGATGATAGACGATGACTATGACGACGTTGTTGTCTTTGTTGTTGCATAGTGTTGCTATTTAATGAATGAAGTGGTAAATCAAATGGTAATATTGAATTCGAATGAACTAATGAAGATCTATTCATTCTATTAACTATCTCGAATTGATCATTGACAAGTATGAATAAACAAAAAAAAAGAACAACCAAAATTTCAATGTGCTTTTCAATGGATACTTAGAATAAACCAATCAAAAGTTTTTTATTTGAATATATAACGACATCTGTAGTAAGCATGTTGCACCAATTCTAAATTTCTTTTCAGATTTTCTATAAAATATTTAAGGCAAAAAATATTTAATTAACTAATTATGAACGATAACAAGGTTCAATCTAACGATATGGTACATATGTGTGAAACTTAGTAGAACGAATAGCTTTCTTTACGAAACGAAATATGTATAGAGCAGTAATATTTGTTCATCGAAGATGTATTGGTAACAGTAAAATAAAAAAAAGCTTTTGCAATCTAGTTAAACTTTTCACAAGAATTTAATGATGATTCGAGAGATTTTTTCAAATATTGATATACGATCTTTTAATGTAATAAAGTGTTCAGTTCACTTCATTTAACTGAGACATTGTATATATACACATCAATTGTCTTCGAACTACAAATAAAGAGTTCAGTAAATGAGTTAGACATATACAAAGCAATATGTGCAACTGCTTGGATTATATTCTGTCTAATTTTGAAAAACATCATATTATTCTGTATACTTGCTGTACAACGACAAAAACATGCTATTTATCGAATACCTGAAGATAGAAACACATTTGGTGAAGGATAACAATCAGAAGAAATAAATAATGAATAGAATTTAGCTGGACGTATTGAAATTTTGCACATTTTGTTTTTTTATTTATGTTGTTTTATACAATAAGGAATAAAAATATCTCATTCAATGATGTTTAACACTTGGACAAGAATAGATAAAATATGATAATGACAATAAAGATTAAAAGAAATGCGAACAGAGATTTAATAAAAAGTACTTATGTTTTGATTTTTCACAATAAAAAAAAATGAATATTTTGTTTGTTTTGTAAATCACAGTTTTTTAAACATCAAAAATAGAAATCTGAAGATTGTATCTATGAGAGTGTGTCATATTGTTGTATAACACCTTTGATTGTTTGAATTTGAGCCTAAAATAATTTTCATAAATAAAAATATTTTTTTTGTCCATAAAAATTTACTTTTGTATGTTTAATTTGAAATTCAGTTAATTCAATTAAATTCTTTCGAAACATTTGTACACGTCGTGTTTTAAAATCATTTAATTCTAATGAAAAAATAAGAAATTATATTAATTCCAAAAAAAATTGATCGAACCATCTTTTGCTTTTTCTGATATTGTTTCAAATTTTGTTTTAATATTTTGTTGTGTTGTTTCAGCTTGTTGGACATCTTTATTTTTTTGACGTGCACGATCTAAATTTTTATTTGCTGTATCAAAATCAGCTAAACAACGTGAACGACGATACATTAAATCAAGTGCTGCTTTGGAATCACGCATATAATATCTTAATGTATCAGATAATTTCAAATCAATATCTGATTGAATACGAGATTCTAATTTCTTGAAAAAAATTTCATAAGTAAAATATATTTTACAACAAAAATCTTACTCGAGCTTTTTCAAAATAATCTGCGAGGAGAATAAAATATCTAAAACGAAGATTGATGGATCGTTAAGAAGAAGATCTATATGATTTTACATACTTTGTTAAATCAGTTTTATCAGATGTTGAGAGAGTATTTAAACCACTTGATAATTTAATATATGTATCAGTAATATCTACATAAAATGAATAGAAATAATGAATTTTGAAGAAAGAAGAATTTCTTTACTCTTTTGTGTTCGTGTTGCTTTATCAGCAGCAGCTGTTGCATCTTTTATTTTTGTATTATAAGTTAAGAGAAATTGTTTTTGTCGTTCAAAAAATTCATCACTTTCCTAATAAAAGAAATAATTTCATTGGACTATTTTTCTTAGACCTCTAAAATCATCGTTCTTATTAAGAATTAGTCTAACACAAGTAAATCTATATAGAGCTCATTTTACCTTTTGATTTGCTAAGAATACTTCATCAGCTGTTTTAGTTAATGTTTTAAAAAAGCCACTAATTTGTTCTTTTGCATTTTTACCACGAACACTTAACTAAAATAAAAATAATTTTTGTGTAAAAATTTCGATGATAATTTTAAAATATTACATCTTCTTTGTATTCAAGAAATACACGGAAATTATTATCATTACGTAAAATTGGATGTGTTGCAAGACGTTGAAGAAATACTTCATGCATTGAAACTGTCTTTTTAAACATAGCTAGATATTCACTAAATTACAATGAATTCAGGATTTAGAATATATTTATGATTGAGGTAAACTTACGCTTCAAGTTCCTGTTTCATTTTTTCATATTCATCTCGTGTTAATGAACCTTCGCTATCACTTAATTTTTGTAATTTAGCACGAGATGAATCAAAATCTGGTCGTGCTGGTGCTGGTGGAATCTATATCGAATTTAAATATAATATCATTAATAAATATTAGAAAACTTACAATTAAACCTGCATATTCTTCATTTTCATTATATCGATCATGTAACCAAATAAATTCTTCATGTTGACGTGTAACACTAAATTCTTGTTCTTGAAATATTGGCAATTTAGTCTTTTTAAGAAAAATAAAATTAGAATTAAATTGAAATTTTCTCATATAAATATACCTTTGTATGAACCGTAAATTTAACTTTTTCTTTCTCACTCAGTGCATCCGATATATCAATATTAATATCATTTTCATTGAGATTTATTGAATCAGAATGTTGTGGCTAAATAAATTTTTAATAAATTTTCAAAATATTTCTACAATTAACCTACCTTGCTATCAGATATATCGACACTATGTTCTGGTGCCTTGAAATAAATAATAAAGATTATAGTTCACTTTTATTCGAATATTTCATTACTCACAAGCATTGTTAGAAATTATTTAAAACGAAGAAAATTAATTAAATTTATATATCTGAAAATAGAAAAATAGACATTTAAAACAATAATCTAATTAGGCTATCGATGTATTGAACTGATAGGTAGAAATATAACAACGAATTTATCTATGTCTTCAGTATAAATATCTGTTTAACATTTTTCCGAACGTCAAACAAATTAAATCAAAATATTGTTCCTGATCACGTTCATTATCTAATATATGATGCATGTCATGACAATATTTACATAAAAGAACATTCTTACTAAGCTGTATAGCTGAATATTCCATTTATAATAACGAGTAAACGGCACGAGATGTTTTATTAGATTCATCTATGAATGTTTCTATATTCCATGATCAATATAATCATACTAGATGAATGTCAATGAATATTAATATTATTAATATAACGATAAATTAAATAATAGAGAAGACTATATGACTGACAATATTCAATCTAGAATTATTCATTTTTGATAAATCTATTTCAAATATCGGTACAAGTATTTTATCTTACAGGTAATATTTTTAAACTAATTCTCTCTATCTAGATAGTCAGAAATCGACTCAACTATTTTCTCTTAGCCTTAAAAGTATGATTATTCTATAATAAACTAGTTTAAGTTTTCCTTATTAAAATAAAAACGTGCGAATAAATATAAAACTTATGTATTGTTTTATATAGCTTAAGTGAAAATAAAAAACAAAAAGAGTTAACAATATCATGTTTCTCAACGATCTTTTTTTTTTTATTCATATAATAGAGAAACTAACAAAGCAAATACACAAAAACAATGTGTTTTCATAATTTTTGTAATAATATTTCTCGTCATTTGGTCTTGTTTCATTTGTTTATTGTTGTTTATTCTTTTTCTTCGGCACGTAAACGTGCATTTGGATTAGTCACCTTAATTGCTAATTGTTGAGCACGTTCAATGATTTTCTTACGATTTGGTGCTGATACTGCATGACCAATTTCGGCTGCAAATTTTTTATTTTGCATTAATAACATTTCAAGTTCCTATTGGAAAAGAGAAAATATAAATATGAAATCTTCTTCTTTTGTTTGAAATGATTTACTTTAAGATTATTAACGAGAAATGCGCGAAAACCATCTGGACGCATATGACGTGAGCGTTTATCTGAACCGTAACCAATCGATGGCATTAAATAAACACCTTTGAAACGTCGACGAACACGATTGTCAATACCACGGGGTTTACGCCAGTTTGGCTAAAATAGTTGAAATAAATAAATAAATAAATATATGAGGATGTTTACATACTTTGAGACGATCATAGCGATCACTTTGATGGCGAACGAATTTTTTCGTACGTTTTTTAATAATTTTTCCCTTAACCAATGGACGTAATTTGGTCGATGTGGAGGCCATCGTTTAAAATCTGAAATAATTCAATGTTCAATAAAGTCAAATTTTTGTTTTTTTCTTTTTTTTTGTGACACAAATAAGAATATAGAGAATTTTTTGTTTCGGCATTTTTCTATATGTTTTTATTCGGGCCGAATTGTATTTTTTGTTATCATCAAAACAATATATGTTTTTTTTGAAATAGAAGTTTTTCTTACAAAAACAAAAAAAACTGACGATAACAAAATCGATGTTTAGTTGATTTGTTTATTGTTGATCAGCATTACCGGGACCACCACGATTACCATCATTAAATCCACGGCCTCGACCATAACCACCACGCTAAAGCAAAAAAAATAGTTCAATCTTCTATTCGTTTTTTTTTAAAATCTATAACATACAAATTGAGGTTGAGCTGATCCAGCACCAACTTCACCTGTTTTGTCGTATCCACTACGACGATAGTCTTGTCGACTTTGATCAGATGGTGATGCTGGTCGAGCAGTATCAACTAGAAAGAATTTAAGTAAAAGTGTTGAAATGTATATATAGAAATATCGTTAAAATTATACTTCGTTTAGCTTGTTTAGCTCCTTCAGGTCTTGTTGGTCGTTTAAGTGTGGCCGGTACAATTTCAGGTGGTAAATTAAGATATTCACGTAAGAAATTAGTACCTGCATTATTTAAATACCAGTAATAATGACGCCATGCAAATTGTTCTTTAACCAAATCTCGTGATTTAAGCGACTAAAATTGATTAGAAATGAAATTTCACTATTTTTTTCTGTCTTTATAAAAATAAGAAAAGAAATTAAACTTACTTGAAGTGCTTTAATAACATGAATGTTTGGTACTGGTATATCTGGATGTTTGTCGAGACCAAAATCTTTTTCAGCAACGACAACACCTTCTTTCATTAGATACTCGTAGATGAGTGTACGATGTTTCTTGGGCATCAACATTTTTCAGGCCCTTTTAGAATATTTTTTAAATAGAATCTAACGAGATCTAGAATAAAAAAGTCTTTTTTTTTTTAATTAAAGAAAAAGAATTAAGAAAAAATATTTATCGAATACTAGCAATGTTGTTTATTGAAGTATAAATGGATTTTGTTGGATAGAATAGTGTAAAAACTGGATGGTTCTATGAACATCTGAAAAAAGGTTTTTTTGAAAAAGTTCAAAGATTCATATTTTTTATTCTCAAGAAAAATGTTTAGATATTAATCGTTAAATAAAGATTAAATATATTTATCTTTAGAAATATTTCTTCCATGAAACTATTGTATCTTACTGACATCTATTATCTTCATCGATAATGCTTTTAATAGTGATAAAAATAATTTAGTATAATCACAGACGAATGTAAAATAATACTTTTTCGTTATTTGTAATTTTAATTAAGTTTTGTTTTTTACATTTTCCTATGTTGGAATCTTAATTTTTGGTTATTTTCTAGTTGAACTAGATGATACATGAGATATGTTTTTGTTATTATTTAAAAAAAATGATCTATTGTGTATTTTTGCATCGATTTATTGTGTGCAGACACGTGTGTCTTCATCAATCAAGAAACACGTAAACGTACAATATTTTTGAAATAGTATACAAATGTTTTGAGTGGAAAGAAATTATAAATTTATTGTTATTGAGTTTTATGATTATGAATAGATTGCTCGATAGTTTAGATTTTGTTGAAAATATTCTGTCAAATTATCGATTTAATAATTGAAATAATATATAATATAGATTTTTTAAGTAACATTTGTACAGAACAGAAGATTATATTTTTACCAACAAAGTTATATAATCATAAATATTTTTACTCAAACCATCTGAAGTATTTATACTCATTAATATTTGTCTTTAGTCCTTGCAAACGATTAGCGACTACGTAATTTTACAATTTACTCGATACACTATCGATAGTATTCTTTCGTTGGGTGTGTTTTATGTATCACATCATTTGAGTTGCAAAAACAACCTTTGCACTTTTATTATTTATAGTGCACATGGATGTGTTTAGTTTTAACAAAAAACAATCATATTTTGGCCTGTCCACGTAAAACGTGATTCCGTCACGCTTTATTCGTTTCATAACACATAAACGATTTAGTAAAAAGAATTGAATACATTTGCAATTTTAAACGAAGAATTATGCTTTTTAAAATGGAGCACTCCAAAGATGTCTATAACTTCTCAATTTTTACAAACAACGGTGACGGAATCACCTACTTTCGTAGATAAGCCGATTTATATATGAAGTATATTGGGAAAAAAATATAATTTCATCTTATTAGAATGTGTAATAATAATAATAATAAATAAATAGCTTATTTAATATATCTTTATTTGAAAAATATCAAAATAAAGCAAGCAATTCAAATAACTCGAAATGCAGCAGTAGCGTCAGTATTATATACAGAAATAAAAAAAAAAATCGCAATATTATTTACAATAATAAAAATGCATCATATAGACAAGAAATATAAAAGCGGTTCAGAAGTAAAAATACACGCAGCAATTGTAAGAAAACAAGTGTTCTTTTACCAATTCTAATAACTAAAATATTTTCATTCAGTAATACTGTCACGATGAATTGTAGATTTTTCACGTAGTATATCACCATCGTCAGTTTGAGTGACGTCATTTTGAGTGACGACTTCATCACCATTATTAATATTTTCATCAGCATCATCATCTTCATCTTCATCTTCATCATCGGCATCAAGTGCATCTTGAATCATTTGTGAGACACGTCGATTATATTCAGCTCGATTATCTCGATATAATAGAGCAGCTTCTAAATTAGCTGGACTAAGTGGATTTGGATCGACAAGTAGAAGACGAATTGAATGAAGTATAGCTAAGACATCATAAGATGGTGCCCAACCATCTTTAAGTATATCAACACAAATACGTCCATCTTCCCACCAAACATTTGGATGAAAAACTTTTGTAGTGAAACGAACTTGTGGTGGTCGAAGTGGATAATCTTCAGGAAAAAGAAATTGAAGCTGAAATGCACCACCTTCATAAACAGTTTCTTCAGGTCCAAACATAATAGCATTCCATATAAAAAAATTCTCTGATGAAGGACTTGCATCAATACCTTCAACTTTATTTTTAAGTAATTGTCGGAAATCTTGTTGTAATCTTCGAATAGCCATTTTTATTGCTAATTTATCACAAGGAGTATCGAGTAGAAAAAAAGAAAGGTAATTAGTTTATCTAAAAATAAATAGTACAAAAATATATACAACTGATTATCAATGACTATAAGGTGTAATTTATATATTAAAAATTTGAATTATCGATATTTTTATCTTATCTAAAGAATAACTAATGTATTATTGTTTTTATAATGACATCGTAGTAAATTGTAAAAATATTATTAAAAAAACTAGCCCGATCGAATAGAATTATTATGAAGAAAACAACAGATTTTCATGTGAATTAAGTCGAATTATATAACATGCATTTATTTAAAACTACATTTCTGAAAAATATAATTGCATATAACATATTATATAAATCAGAAGTATATCACTAATCGTATATTTATTCATAGTTTACTATTACAGCATATTATTATACTTGAAGAACTAGGAATATTCCATGAGAAAGCTATATAGAGATGCTCAATTAATTTTTTAGAGTAAGTTTGCCTTGAGTTTAGATAGGTGTTCTATCTGTTGCAGACGTTAGCTAATATTGCCTTGAGTATGAAGAGAAGAAAATAGAAGAAGAAGCTCAGATTCTAATCCAGTGAGAATTTTTTTCTCTATGTCTTCTTATTCTTTTTTTTTTTCGCTTTCTAACTCTATCATTATTACTAATAAAAAAAAAGAAGTGTATTACACATCAGTAGACAAACGATTATAAACTTACAATATCTACTTACTAATTACAATAGAACGGAAAATTTTAGAAAGAGATTTCTTCCTGTGTTCACTTAATTTCATGAATCATTAATACTATACTATTTCTTATCTTGTAGGGTTTTTAACAAATGATGATTTCTTCTCCTCGTATATTGATCATTAATATTATTCTAATACTTCTTATTCATCAAGTTCATAGTGGTTATTGGGTATGTGATTGGGTAAATGGTCGTGGATGGATGTATTGTGCACGTGGTTTTTGTAATACATACTATGGTAGAAAACGAAGTATCTCAATGGAAGACAAACAAATAAGTCCTGTACAAGATACTAATGGTTTATATTGTTTAGACAAAAAATTTTGCTATTCATGTGAACCAATTAATGATAGTGCTTGTCATATTACACTTCGAGCTGGATATTCACCTTCCTTCGAACCATATTCATTGAACAAAAGAGCGTATGAAAATACTTGCGACTAACAAAAACAAAAAAAGATTGACTAATTGAAATATGTATTTTTTCTTCTTTTGAACCTATATTGTATGGAAAAATCCAATAAATAAAATGAATATAATTTCAACATACCTTTTCTTCATTGAAAATAAATACAGTTAACTATATCTATGATTTAAAAAAAATCATATTGAACTATTTCCATTGGAAATTTCCATTTGAAAATATCCAAAATTTGATATTTATCAGAACTATTGCCTGTAGTTTCTGCTTGAATACCTATATGTTAACGTTACCATTAACATATACTAGTCACGCTTTCTGAATAAACATACCTGCACATGGGGAGGTATTTATACCTTTGGAAATTTTCACATCCACGTATGTATGTGTGTCAAAGGTAATTATAGTCAATAAATGCATTACTTGCATTCCAATCACTAATACAATGGATTGGTCGAAATAAAAAGTAATATATCGAATAGTCAGGTATCACGTAGGAAAAGACGTCATTTATTGAGTCATGGTTTGATGATAAAAATAAGAAAATTGCAGATAAACAAATGAAAGGTATGTAGGTAGATGGCCTATAACCTATGTAAATATAATGATTCTTCTCCCTTATTGAGTGAAAGGGGTAAGAGGTAGAATAAAAGATCAAATTAGAATTTTCCAATAAACTATCAATATTTAAACATTAATTAAATTTATATTCTGATTATTTAGAAAATTAAAGATATTGAATATATTTTCAACAAAGAATAAAAATATTTTAGCCGTATAATTTACACAAAAATATATAAGTAAACAAAGAATGTAGTGACGCATTAAATCACCATGTGATATAATTTAATTGATTGCATACTTTTCAACTATTATTCACACGTATGTACGTATATTCACATATTTTTAAAATAGGTGATACGCAATTTGCATCCCTATTATAATAAATAGTCATGTGAATAATATTTTTGAAACGCAATTATTCTTATTATTAGTTAAGGATAAAAATATCTTTTCTTTTTTCATCGATCAGTAATATGAGAATTACAGTCATGCTTGATCTATTAGTCCTAACCTTTAACGTTAGTAAAAATATATACTCTTTTAGCCTCTCGATAATCAGAAGGTAATTATAGTATAGTATTATTTTAGTTTTTTCATTGCTTAATTAAAACTAATGTATAAAATAAACAAAAACACAGAAAAATTAAACATCACTAGCAGTGTTCAGTGAAAATGTTATTGGTTCTTGTATTTGTTCTCTTTGTCGTCGTTTTTTTTCGTAACGTGATAATAAATTATGAACAACATCTGTTGCAACAAAAATCGAATTATTTCGATAAATAATATCAATAATTAAAACACCATCTTGCATAAGAAAATCTCGTGTAAATTCTTCTATTAAATCATCATTAAATTTTATTTTTGATGTACTTTTTCGATAAAGATCACGAATAAATGTAAATCGACTATGGAAATTAAACATATGATATAATGTAAAAATAAATGATAAAACATTTGCGACAAATATATAAATAAACCAAAACCAAGCAAGTGAAAACATTTTTTCATTAAACATATTTATTGGTAAAACACATTGTACTGTATAACGATGAAGATTTCCAACTTCACGTATACGTAAATCACATAATGTTACACGAGGAAAATAAGGTGAATCCGTCAGAACAGAATTTTGTATAAATACACTATACCATATATCAATACCATAAAACCAACCAGGTTGACCTAATATGACATGAATAAGTACTAATTGAATAAATGAATTAATTAAATAAAGAATTTTAACCATTAAATATATTGAACAAAGATAATTTCCTAAACGTTTACCACTTGTACAAAATAAAGTACGACAACATCGATTACCAATAGTATTATCACGTTCATATGGTTGACAATATTGTTCAATAAGTGGAACAATTTTTTCTTGTTTATCTTTCGAAACAAGATGTTGTAAATCAACACCTGATCGAGTATTCATTGAACGCCATAACATACGTGGAAGATAAAAAAATAAAGCAAATAAAAGAAATATAAATGGTGTCCATTGATAATAACCAATTTCAGCACGTTCTCGTTCATGTTTACTATGTGGAACTGTACTATTAGTTGGTACATAATATGTATTTGAAATCCAACAATAATTATTTGTATATGTAGAATAAGCACCAACAAATTGAGCTGGTACCCAACAAGTTATTCGATTTAAAGCAAGTGGACTACCTGTTGCAATCATTGCACAAACAAGTAAAAAGCCAACAGTATAACGATGATTTAATCGATCAGAATGTTCATCATCATTTGATACTGATATTGATTTAATCCATGGAAGTCCTTGTGCTGCACCGAAGAATTTACCTGCCATAATTATCTTAGATTAATAGTCTCTGAAAAGAAGAAAAAGAAATGCATATAACATAAAAGATTAGTTTTCAAACGAATGCATAAGTTCAAAAACAACAACAACTATATAAAATAAAACCTTCAAAAAAGATTTTATTGTAATTTTCGTTTGTCAACGATTCATTTGATATATATATATGCGTAAGGATTGTAGTGAAAATGTTGAAGAATAGATGTGGTTTTTTTTGATGATTATATTTGTCTTCTGACACCTCTCTATACTATTTTTTTTCTTTTTCATTCTTTTGAATTATACTTATTCAAAGGTCTTTTTTGACCTTGCATCTTATTTTCTATTTTCAATTCTTATCTTTCTTTCTTGGCTCTCTGTCTCTCTCTCTCTGTCTCTTTCAATGTATGTCATTAGAAAGAATTATATTTGACTACGAAGAACCGCAGGAACACGAAATAAGAACGACAAAAAAAAAAGTTTTTTTTTTTCTACAAAAGGATGGGACTCATCCAGGATGACGGTTATTATTTCGAACGACAGTTTTTTAAATTCACATAAGCAAAAAGAAAAAAACCAAAATACTATATGGCTATTGATATACATTTGTTGAAAAGAGGTGTCTCAAATTTCGTTTTCTTTTTAATGTAAAAAGTAAAAAGAAAAAAAATATATTATACGTATGGGTGCACTGGAGTCGAGGTTGATATAGTGACATTTATTCGAAAACTATAAAACAAAAAACCATAAACTATATTTGTCAACTATATGTGTTTTCGATTATTAATGTAATTTAATGATGAATTTGTTGTACAATAGATTTTTTTTGAATATAATCTACTAATACGTATTTTACTTTACTTGTAACGAGAATATGCATGCAGATAATTGTAAGTAATAAAATGCCACTTGTAACAACTCATATAACTGTTATATGTTGATGAATGATGTAAAAATCTAAAGTGACAATCAATTGAATAAAATGAGTCGCGATAAGATCATCGGAATAGATGTATTTCATGTTAATCTATGACTATAAAATATCAAATAAAATATCAATGCGTGTTATAATTCAATATGAAGAATAACTTCTAATAGTTCTCACATAGAAATCAATAGACAATACATACACATATATATTAACACTCATGTACAAAATCTACAATGTATCTAGTTCTTCAATTACTGTTATTTGTTCCTGATGAATCAGCACATCTAAAATGAGAACTTAATGATAGATAAACCAGATGTGATGGAATTAATTCGTGAGGATAGAAAAGAAGATTGTCGGGATATTTTATTTAAACAAATTGATGTATTTTGGAAATCATACATTATTTATTAAGTCATTGATGTATGAAGAAAACGAATTGTATTAATTAATTGCCTTCATTGTTAAACTCTTGTAATCAAAATGGATATTTGAAAAATTCAGATAGAGTTTTGTGAGTATTTATACATTTGAATGAATTGATATTTGCGAGTATAATCGTCTTTTTAATTATTCAAATAGATATAGATAAGAAAAGTTTAATGATGAATTGCAAAATATCAATGTTTTAATGTGTTGTGTAGCACTGTAAGAACGTGTGGTTATTAAAACAAAGGTTAGCAAAGTTGTAGTAAAAAACAATACTATCACGAGATATAGCAAACCGTAACACAATCTGAATTTTCTTCTATATGGTTAAAACTAAGATTATTTTGTCAAAATGTACTCATATTACATAATAATCATTGACATCACTGATGTTGACACATTGCTCTGTTTGATTATGTATTTAATGAATATGACTCGTTCTTTATGCTAACAAACAGCAGGTTCAACATTATGTACTTGGATCGAACAGTATTAATAACATAACAGAAGCAGAATATCTTATAGATTATGGTTTTCTTGCAAATGAAATGTTCAAGAAAAAATATACACTAATATTTTACACAAGTGAATAATTTTTGATAATGTCTACTATTAACACTTTTTTAAATTGGTACTGGCAATATTAGAAGAAATATATTCATCACTAAAAGTTAACTCCATGATTTTATCAATATTTACATAATATAAAAGTATTTTCAGAACAATAAATATCAATTGTTTATTATATGTTGATTTTCGTATCAATGATAATAATAAAAATATGATAGAATAACACAAAAAATTATTTTCATTCTTTATTATAATCTGAATGATACGTACTATGACTGAAATAGTGCGCATTCAAAATGGGTATTACTAGAACTAGAATGTCGATGTTGGTTTTTTTGATGACAAACAATATTCAATCGGAGTTACTTTATATATATATACTTTCAAAAAAAGATTTCGACTCAAAGAAAAAGATCAAATAATTTTAACAAAAGTTTGACTAGTAATATGAAGATTTATTTGACTGAAACTTGATACAAATATTTATTGTTATTTCTCTTGACGTATATAACATACATATTTCATCAGATATTTTAATTGTAAAAAAAATTGAATTAATAGAAGATATCTTCTTAACATCAATCTCTCACTATCCATAAATTAGCCAAAAACATAAATATCAATAATTTTCTGTATGACATCTAACATTTTTACATTCAAGAAAATAGTTATTAGAGTAGTTTGTATATACATTGCTCAATCTGTTTAGTCGTCAGTTACATTACTGAAACATAAATGAAAAAGACATCTGTACTATAAATGATATGGATGAATTATTCAACTGAAATTCATTATTAATTCAAACTAATAGTTGCATATATATTTTATAGCATTCGAAAAAAAAATGATATACTTAACAAAGGATACAAAGCATTTAAGTAACAACTATTCAATGTTATTTTTTTTTACTTCAAAAAACAATTGCATTATTGAATAAAGAGAAAGAAAAGAGAAAGCAACAGATATCTGTTTTCGAGATTATGTCAATACTATATAAAAAAAATGCAAAAGATAAATAAAACACAAACAATAATAATAAGCATGTATAAATAAATAATATTTAGATAATGATCATGAGAAAACAAACTGCATAATAGTTATATTATTTAAACACCAGCTGATTCATTTGGTACAGTAATCAGTTGTTTACCATCTTTTAAATGTGTTTTAAATTGTTCTGGTATTGGATGTTCTTTATATTCACCATCACCAAATGGAACATTGACTGTCATTTCTGAGGATTTTGATGTAATAAATTCTGTATGAAGTGATGTTTTAGATAAATATACATGACAACCATCAGTTTTTTCAATTTGAATTGTTGGTACATGTTCTATGACTTGTATTTTCATTGAACGACAATTGATAAATTCAACCAATGATACAACAGATGTAAATTGTATACCAACTTTTGTACATTGATCGAGTACAATTGAATTAACTTTACCTTGAACTGTTATTGTTGAATTCGAACATTTATACACATAAATTGTTTGTTTCATATTTGTATCGGTAATTTTAAGATCGGATCGACCTGAATGATATTCAACAACCCATTTATTACCTTCAAGTGCTAATTTAGGTGGACCAGTTGTTAATGTTGATGAAGTATTTGAAGTTGTTGTCTAGAAAATAATAAATTTTATAGAATTATTCAAATTTTTAATAGAAAACTGAAACCTACATGAGATTTATTTGATTTTTCAACTGGTTGATTTGTTGATTGTTCTCGTAATTGAGGATTTTTATGAAGTTTAAGTTCATCAGGTACTTTTTTTAAAATTGATGCTGCACCTGTACCTAAAGCATTGATCGTACTCATCAATTCATTTCGTGATTGTCCATCGTCACTCTGTGTTGTTGATGTTAATAGTGTAGCCGGTGGAGGTGGTGGAGGAGGAGGTGGAGCTGCACCACCAGTATGAGTTTGAGAAGTACTCCAAGTTAAACCTGTTGTATGATATTGTTTGACGTAAGCATGTAAATCACTTAAAACTTTTATCCATTGTTTAACCCATTCAACATGAGTAGGATCTTTTTCTTTGAATTCTTTTAAAACTCGATTAGCATAAAATTGTGCTGCATCGGACATTTCTTTAACATAGGGTGCAGGTGTTGGTGAAACAAGTACCCATCCTAATGCGGGAATACCTTCTGATATAGCTGATAAATGATTGAATAAAGGTGATTTACGGTGATTATTTGTATAGGCTAAAAGTAGATATAAATTTGACTATCAATGAAATTATATATTTATCTAAAAATTGGTTATTACCACAAATAGCCTCGATTTCTGTTGATTGTGGTTTGATTAATCCGTGTATTTCTTCATCCTTTGTTGGTTTTTTACTTTGTATTGCTTTTTGTATAAATTGTCGTTGGGCATTAAATAGACGTGCAACATGATCAATCATAGCTGGTAAATCACCACCAATTTTACGTGAAATTGTTGTAAATGATGCTAATGCATTATCAATAATAGCATTATAGTCTCGTAAAACAGGTAAACTATCATTTGCCTGAGAAGCCATAACTATAGAATAAAATAAAGTATGAAAACCCACTAAATTTTGTTGCTAATTTTGCTTCGTATTCTACACTTAGTAAGAAAGCCTATTGCGTTGACAAAACAATGCTATTTTCAGCGAGATACTTTCTAGAAATATAGATATACATATATCTAATGTCATAGAATGCATTATGACAAACAACACCCACACAAAACGAAGAACTAAACTAGAGAAAAGAAAAAAAGAATACAAGTACAGTGATGTATAACATATCTCCATTGAAGAGTAACGCCTACTCAAATCTAAACGCATTTATCTCCTATATTTTCCTATCTCCAAATTAGTCTGACAAAAATAAGAACGCAAAAAGAAACAGACAATATGAATAGATGTTTTGCAGACATAGATTCGGATTTGTTGGTATACATATACTGTATACTACTTATATTAACAATAATAAAGAAACGTATAGATCATAATCAATGGCACAATTCTTTTTCCTTTTACCGGTCATTCTATTGACCGTATTTTCTCTCTTCTCTTGTCTTCTCTGCTTATCAGACAGACACACCAAAAAAGGATTGTATGAATCACTAAGAAACGAGAGAAACGGAACAGTTATCAATTGGTTATCCAAGTGACTACTCAAAGCTTGAGGTCGCTTCTTCAATATTTGACCATTCAGTGCATTTCATTTATTACCTCATAAACTATTTATAGATCTATAAAATACTAGTTGAATGAAACGAACAGGTTTCAACAATATTTACTTTTCTGATAAATACAAAGTCAATTTGATTATTTCAGATGAATACAATAATACTTCCATTAAATTTATTCATCATGTCTAAAAGGTAAAGAGAACATCAGTCTTCTTTTTTTTCTTTTTTTATCAAAAAATATTTTCGCATGACTATTTTATACTTTTCTTCATTACATAAACTAGACTAAAAATGTGAATATTTACTCTCAGATCATGAACTAAAGTAAATATAATATTAAATTAGATAAAAGTTTGAACAAAATCATTTAGTTTGTTTTTTTATTGTGTACAAAAATTCTATAATTTCATTTGCTAATTTATTGCTATTTACATTTTCTTTTCGATATTTTGTATTCATTTTTTGTTCTATTTTATATTTAGCTTTTTATGTATAATCCTGAACATATCATACATCGATGGATTTTATATCCAATAAGAAAATTCGTGATCATCATGCAACTACGACGAGATGTGCCAATATTTTTTTTTCTTTTAATTACCATTTTTCTTCTTATTTTACTTTTCCAATTGCATTATACGGTTGATCCATCCACACGAGCCGGATTATCAAAATTAATTAAAAATCAAAAATTTCGAATTCTAACAAATAAATATTCATCTGTTTGTATATCAGATAAATAATTACTCAAATATAATATTCATTGTATTTTAGCTTTGGTATCAAACAAATTGTTTTCAAGTTCAACAATCACAAAAACTTGTATTAGAAAAACTTCCTGAATATTTAAAAAATTCACATTCATCAAAAAATGAAATTTGTCGGTTAGTTATTTTCAAAATTAAATTTCTCTTACAAATATTTTTCATTTCTAGACAATTTGCAACAATATTTAATGCATTATTCCATCTCGATGAAATCTATGGATCATTAAAATTATCACCGATTTATTTAAAGAAAATAAATCAATGGTTAAATAATAATGACGTACTTCTTGAACAAATACGAAAACAGGTAATGTATAGAATTATTAATGAAAACAAAAATAAATCTGATATGAGATATACACAATCTATTCTATTTCAAGCGTATTATTAAAGTATACAATCGATATACACATGAAGAAATGTTATACAATTATATGCGTAGTCAACGACCACAAACTAAGAGTGAAATATCATCTGAAAGCTAGTATGAGTTATTTGTGATTATCTTAGAGATGAATGTTGCTTGTCTGCTATGTCCTTGTCATGCGTTTGATTATTTTTTTAAAGATTTTCTGTTAATAAGAAATATTTATTTATTTTTCTTTTCTTTTTTTAGTACATCAAAATTATTGGAAGATAGCAAGAAAAATTGTGATTTTTGTGGAAAAAATTATCTCAAGTATGACATTGATTATGAGTGTATAAATCAATACTATTTTCTTTTAGTTCAACTGCTGAAGATACATTTGGACGTCTTGAACATCGTCTTTCATATACAGCTGCTAATACATTTAAATATGACCGTTGGCATACACTTATTGTATCGCGTAATCACGATACATTACATTTAACAGAAGATGAAATCGTTGATATGTTTGAATTAACAAAAGAATGGTTTCGTAAAGCTCATTCTATAGAACCAATGTATACATGTCCTGAAATGATATGGGATGCAATGCCTAAAAGTGGTGCTTCACAAATGCATACACATCTTCAAGCTAGTTTAGGTTTTGATATATATTATGGAAATATTGAACGAATAAGACAAGGTGCTCGTCTATATGCACAATTAAATAATGGAAGAAATTATTATTCTGATTATCTTTCTATACATCAAAAATTAGGTCTAACAATACCAATTGGAAATGCACATATTGTTGTTCATCTAGTTTGTTAATATTTTATTATAAGACAAAAAAAATGATTTTATTTTTTTTTCTAGACACCAATTAAAGACCTTGAAATAATGATAATGGGTGAAAAATTGGAAAGAAATTTTTATAAAGCATTACATCTTGTTTTTCGAAGTAAAAATTAAATATTAATTTAGAATAATATTTTAAGATTTGATTAATTTTTTAGCTTTTGTTGATGATCTTAATGAATATAGTTTTAGTTTGGGGATGTATTTACCACCTATGGTAAAAACAAAATGATATAAAATAATAATTTTATATTTAAACTTCTTGTTTCATATAGAATGAATCATCTTCAAATGGTCATGATATCCCAGTTGTATGTCGTTTAGTTTTTCGAAATCCTGTTACTAATCTACGATCAGATATCAATGGACTTGATTTATATACAGTAAATATATTCAAAGTAATTATTTTCATTCTACTTATTCATTTTCTTTTTTTTTAGAGTTCAGTAATTGGTAAAGATCGTTATATACTTCATCAACAATTAAAAGATAGTATATATAAACGTCTAAAATAACCATTATATCTAAATATATTTAATATTAATCATATCCGTCCTTACTTTATTCTTTTCACAATTGTTACTACACTAAATCAATTAGATTGTTATCTCTTTCATATATGCCATGATTTTGCTCATATTTACTCAATGATTTTTTTCGCCGATAATAATATATATATATACTACTGTTCACTTGCTTTTTATTGTTATTATTTATTTATATTACAACTTTTTTTTATCAATGAATAGAATACAAAAACAATAACATGAATGTTTGTTTTATTTATTAAAACTTTCTGTAATTTGCACGGCGACCTGGTACAAGTTCTCGAATTACTTCGCCAGGATTTGATGAATAAGTTTCTTCTTTGGCATGTGCGAGATTTTTTGCCAAAATGAGTGTGAATATTAAACACAGGAGTTCGAGAACTAAAACACCACCTAAACTACCTCCAATAATTGGAAGGTTCTTCTCGAGTACGTTAATAATAACTGTTGCACAGCCGTCTGTATGTTGCCAACATGAAGTAGGTGTAAGTCCAGTTGGATAATCAGTTACCCCATCGACGCCACAGCATTTCACTGTATCTTCAAGCTTATGGAAAGCTTCTAATACTTTAGTTTCATTTTGAGCAAGGGCTTTTGTGAAAACTTTTTTCAAACCATCATGGTATACAGTTTCTAGTTTCTTTTTATAACCAACAGCCATTCCAAAACCAATAAGTTGAAGAATCATTAAAATAATAGCGGCAGTGGCATACATATAAAGCATACATCGATTGCACCATAGTGATCCTTTAGAAATATACAAAAGAGACATGATTTATAATCAATATGTTTTTTAAATTACATACCCATACAACCTAGTAATGCAATTAGCACAACTAGTACACCTCCGCCAATCAGAATAAAAGGAAAATAGCCTAATGATTGAGTTTTGAAGTCGCTAACACTTGCCAATTCGTTCAAGACAGCTGAAAAGTTGGTATCTACCTTCATGTAAATGCCAAGCCCCACGAGAGCAAGTCCAAAAATGACAAACAGTATGTTCAATAGAAGCAACATGGCTCTCACGAAGCCAGTGCCACATCCAAGTTCTCGGGCCATAGTATAATGTATATATTTTTTGATGAAATACTAAATAAAATGTGAATAAGATAAGTAAAAATGACTGTTTACACCTATTTTATACACGTAATATTACAAAACAATCTTGTAGAATGATAAGAAAGATCAAGAATATTAATTTTTTTGTGTTGATACAACGTCATATTAACTAAAAGAAAATAGAAGCATAGATAAAAATGATTCATTATCAAAACTGACTAAACACATAGAAAATAATGAAAAAGAAAAAGTTTTACTTTATCATTGTTATGGTCAGAGTCCATTTATTACATATTGAATAGACTTCTATATATTCTACTCGTATTTTATGTTTAATATTTATAAAATATAAGTTGAAAACAAAGTACAATAGATAATGATGACGGTGACACTTTTTTATTTTTGTAGACACTTAGATAAGAAGTAAACATCATGTTCTTATCCCCTATTATAATACTATCTGTAAATTTGATCAAATAACAGACATTTATTAAGAAAATCATTGATTTCTTTATAGTACTGAGATAAAATTAAAAAAAAACGAAAATTTATTTAAAAAACTACAGTCGATTTTTATTACGGTATATGAGTTACGAAAAGAATCAATATAAATATTTTATACGATTACATGATTGATTAAAGAGAACTAATAAGTGGCAATGTTGGTTTCTGTTGTTGTTGAGCTTTGAATTCACGTCGTCGACGATGAAGAATAGGTTCCGTATATCCATTTGGTTGTTTATCTCCATCAAGTACAAGTTCAAGTGCTGCTTGAAAAGCTATATTATGATCAAAATCCAATGCCATCGGACGATAATCTGGACTATCAACATTTTGTTTATCAACTACCTGTGCCATTCGTTGAAATGTTTGTATTATTTGTTGTTTGGTAACAAGTTTATGTCGTAACCAATTTGCAATTAATTGACTTGAAATACGTAATGTTGCTCGATCTTCCATCAATCCAATATTATCAATATCAAGTACTTTTGAACAACCAATACCTTGATCAATCCAACGAACAACATAACCAAGTATACTTTGTGCATTATTATCTAATTCACGTTGAATATCTTCTGTTGAAGGAATCGTATTAAGAATAGGAATTGTAAGTAAATCATCTAAATAATCATTTGATGAAGAAGTTGAAGAAGAAGCAGCAGCTATATCATTTTGACGAGCAAAAACATCTACTTGATGATAATGTAAAGCATGAAGAGTAGCTGCAGTTGGTGATGGTACCCAAGCACAAGTTGCTCCTGCTTTCGGATGAGCAATTTTCTGTTGAATCATTGCTGTCATCATATCAGGCATTGCCCACATTCCTTTACCAATTTGAGCTTTTCCTGTTAAACCATGTTTTAAACCAATTTCAACATTATTTTTTTCATAAGCTGTTAACCATTTAGCTTCTTTTATTTGTGCTTTACGTACAACAGGACCTGCTTCCATCGATGTATGAATATCATCACCAGTTCGATCAAGAAATCCTGTATTAATAAAAACAAGTCGATCTTTTGCTTCACGAATACATGCACTAAGATTAACTGTTGTTCGACGTTCTTCATCCATAACACCCATTTTAAGTGTATTTCGTGGTAATTTAAGAATATCTTCTACACGTGAGAAAAGACGTGATGTAAAAGCAACTTCTTCTGGACCATGTTGTTTTGGTTTAACAATATAAATAGAACCAGTACGACTATTTTTTATATCTTCTGTTGATGTTTTCTTGATATCATGTAAAGCAATTAAAGTTGTAATCACAACATCAAGAATACCTTCAGGAATTTCCTTTTTATTTATATCAAGTATAGCATCAGTATATAATAAATGACCAACATGACGAATAAAAAGAAGTGATCGACCAGGTAATGTTAAATTCGTACCAGTTTTAGAAATATATGTACGATCAGGATTTAATTTTCGTGTTACTGTTTCTTTACCTTTGCTAAATTGAGCTTCTAAAGTACCTTTCATTAGCCCAAGCCAATTTCGATATATTTCTACTTTATCATTCGCATCAACTGCTGCTACTGAATCTTCACAATCAACAATAGTTGTTAATGCTGATTCAACGATTACATCTTTGATTCCAGCAGGATCATTTCGACTTTTTGGTGGATCAATTTGAATTTCAATATGAAGACCATGATGTACAAGAAGAATAGCTGTAGGCATATCAGCATTACCTTGATAACCAAGAAATTGAGTAGGAGATTGTAATTTACCAATAGTACCATCCAATAAAATAACCTACATAATATTTTATTAATATAGAAATATAAAACTAAAATTTCTTACTTTTAATTCTCCATTTTCTATACTATATTTCTTAGCATTACTATGTGATAAACCATTTGATAATGGAACAGTTTCATCTAGAAACTTACGTGTAAATGCAATGACTTTATCACCTCGTTTTTTATTATATTTATTTGTTTTTTCACACCCATCATTTTCCGATATAGCATCTGTTCCATATAAAGCATCATAAAGTGAACCCCATCGAGCATTTGCTGCATTCAATGTAAATCGAGCATTCATTAATGGAACTACTAATTGTGGACCAGCTTGTTTTGCAATTTCATCATCTACATTATTTGTACTTATTTGAAAATTATCAGCATCATTTCGTGGACATAAATAACCAATTTGAAATAAGAATGATTTATAAGCAGCAATATCATTATGTTTTCCTTTATATGTTCGATGCCATTCATCAATTTTAGCTTGAAGATCGTCTCGTTTTTGCAGAAGAGCACGATTAGCAGGTGCAAATTCATTAATAATTGCTTGAACACCCGTCCAAAATGAGAAAGTATTTATATTTGTACCTGGTACAACTTCTTGATTGACAAAATTGAATAAAACTTTAGAAATATATAACCCTCCAACTTTTACACGTTCGTTTGCCATTCGTACAGACATTGTTTTTGCAATATTAAAAAACTAAAAGTGCTCTTTTTGATAACAAATAAATATATACGTTTTTTTCTTCGTCTTCTTCTTCTGTATTTTCGAGTCAATAAAAAAGCATGTGCCTTGCCCCTTATCATATCTTTACTTGCATTAACCTGAAAATATAAGTTATATCTTATGTTTATACTTTTCTAACGAAGAAAATATTGTTATGAGAAGAAATCAGAACACATATACATCATAAATTTAAATATTAATCAGATGTCGCCACATATAAACTCAAGACAAATCTTTATCCAGTCAGTATTTCTATTACAGTGGATTACAACAAATACCCACTTCATATATTTTTTATCTCTTCCTTCTATCTAAACATAATTCGATATAAGTTATTGAATTGAATTACATTTTTTTACACGATGGGATCTCGTCGTGGTCGACTTAATTGGTCTAATATAGAAGTACATATTTCCGATGATGCAATCGATAAACAACACCGTTTTAATAATCCAAGTTCATTTTCAACAAGATTAGCATCTGTACAAGATAGTACCGAACATGAACAAGAAGCAATTTCATTACCACCACCACCACAACCATCACCACCACCAACAGCAACAGCAACGAAACGATCCTGGATGCCAAAGAAAGGTGTTGGTGAAATATGTGTTGAAGAGTTTGTTGGGAATTATATGTTAACAAGTAATTTGAGAAATACACTTCTTTTTCTGTAAATAAACTATTGATTTTTGGTTTATAGAAGCTGAACAAACTGCAATTGATCAAAAATATAACAAAAAAACAACAACAACTAAGATTGAATGTTCAAATACTTCTACTATACCAAAATCAATAAGAATCTCGAATAGATTACCTTCTCTTAGAGATACACCATTATCTACACGTACGACTGATTTATCTGTTGGTCAACATCTATTAAATGTTTTTGTGTGTCATGTTGAATCTTATTCATGTGTTTATATTATGGTTGGTGATGATTATAATCGAGCAACAAAATTATTTCAAGATATGAATAATTGTTATGAACTTATTCGACCATTAAATAATAATTTTGAGTAAATTTTATTTAAATTCTATCATTAATTTTTAGTAGATATTTTAAAATAGACCAAAAGAAAAAGATTTAGTTGCTATACATCATGAAAATAAATGGTTTCGTGGACGATGTCTAAATTCAACAGATACAACTATCAATATTTTATGTATTGATTCTGGTGCAACTATTATATGTTCAAAAAATGGTAAACTATTTCCAAAATTTAATTTTAATATTCTATTTATTTTCTTTCGAATAGATGTTCGTCGTTTACCAGATACGTAAGTTTATATTGATAATTTATCTATTGATTGTTTCTTTTTTAAGATTTCGTGTATATCCACCATGTTGTATTGAATGTTCACTTTCTGGTTTACCATCAACGATATCAATGAGTTCAATGCCTGAAAGAATTCATACTCAATGTTCGGAATTATTATGTTAGTTTAAAAAAAATTCTTTTTAATAATTAAATTATTATTTTTCTAGATAAAGATCGTTATGAAGCAATTGTAACGAGATTAGATTCATTGAATCGTCCAACTATTGTATTATATTATGGTGATGAAAATATAAACGATCGATTAATTACAATTCTCAAGTTACTTTAAAACAAAAAAAAATGATATTTCTTTATTCTAAACGAACTATGTAAATTTTTCTTGTTGTTTATTAAATAGAAAGATATTATATTTCTAATTCAAATCAATAATGTCTTTATCAAATACAAACTGATGTAATAGGATTAACGAATAAAAAAGTGCAATACTTTTCTCCGTTCTATAGTCACATACACAAATAAATCGTTATATAATTAACATTTTATATTATATTCTATATATAGATATCCTCAAATGTCATACAAATTTACATTTTACTAATAATCATCGTTTAGAATAAACATAAAACTATCATATTCTTCGCATTGTTCTCTTCTTGTTTTTTTTGCTCGATGCTTATTACAAATGTTCTAACCCACCTACTCTTTTCGATTTAGTTGGCATCAGATGTCTGAATGATGCTTATATTATAAAAGAATATAAGAAGAAAATGAAATTGGTGAAGAGCAAGAGAGAGAAAATTAATGGTATCTCATGTCAACATATTGGCCATTATGTATAAACGCGTTAAATGTAATTGACGAACATTATGAGAAGTTTTTGAAAAGAAATAGAGAAGAAAAAATATTGTCCCGATTTAAATTCATAAAATCATCTTCATTCGATACATAAGTATAGGACACGGACACTTGTATATAATGATAATTTTTTTTCTATTTAGAACGTGATCTATACTATTTTATTCATAATCATCGAATAAAAAAATGGCATCAGGACGCGGTCATGGTAGTATGTCATTGAGCATGAAATTCCTCCGACTCCTTATTGTTCTCTTTAATATGGCATTTATTGTTATTGGTTTAGCAGTACTTGCTATTGGTGTTTATTGTATTAAAGATCCTCAAATGCAAACACTTGGTGCCGTTCTTAATCCTAACCTAACATCAACATATTCTCAAAGTTTCGCAAATTTTAAAGCATTTGCAATTGCATTGGTTGCTATTGGTGGTGTTTTATTATTTATTGGATTTCTCGGTAAATAATTCAAACATACACACATATATATATTCGATTCATTTCTTTTAGGTTGTTGTGGATCTATAAAAGGTTTTCGATTTTTACATGTTATGTATGCAGTTATTCTTGGTTTAATAATTATTGCTGAAGTTGCACTTGTTATTGTGTTTTTGGCATATCAACAACAATTTCGAGCTAAAACGATTCCTAAACTTCAAAATGCAATTGCTACATATTATGTTGGTACACCCATTGATAATACAACAGTTGTTAATTCAGTTTCACTTTCATGGGATTTTGCTCAATTTAATTTACAATGTTGTGGAGCTGTAGGTCCATCTGATTTTGTAGCAGCTAAAAATTGGACTCGAACAAATCCATATCCACCAGCTGCTCCACTATTAGTTCCATTTACATGTTGTCCATTAGGCGCAGCTAAAAGTTGGACACAACTACCAACAAATTTATCTTCAGCAGTTAACTGTGCAACAACAAGTGCAAATGCTTATACTGTTGGGTGTTATGATCGTTTAGTTAGTATATTTGCAACATATAAAAATTATGCTATGATTGTTGGTATTATTGTTGGTGTCATAGAAGTACTTGCTCTTGTTTTTGCTCTTCTTCTCTTTCGTCGTAAAGAAGATTACGATACTTTGTGAATGTAGAGGGAAAAAAATACTTTTTTTTGTTTCTATTGTTTAATCAATAATTATTTTATTCTTTTTTCCTTTTTTTCTGCGGTGCTTAGCGTGATATCAATTAAGAAAATAATCATTTGTATGGGTATGTGGAATATGCGACTTTCAAAGGATATCGCGTCATTTTTTTATTTCATATAAATATATAATATCATTTGGATTCTTGAAAGCAATAAATATATACATACATATACATGCTGAAGTGAACTGAAGATATTAAATAACCTTGTCAAATCGAATTAAATTTTTATTAAAATCATATTTCTTTCTAGCAGTATTGTTAGTCTATATCATATGGTCATAATGATATATGGAATTATATACATAATAACTAAATCTATGTAGAATACCAAGTAGTAATAGACAACTATTGAATATGAATACTCTATTCAGTCGATAATAGCCGATCCATAGAAACTAAGTTGTATAACATTATCAAATTACATATCAATTTAATTTATATTCGATTGATAAAAAAGAAAATATTAATTAGGAGCAAGCCGAACAAGTTCATTAATCATTTATTTTTTTCAGAAAAAAAACAATACAGTGAAACTTTCGACATCTTTCATAGAGTCATTTTCAATACTAAAGTTTTATGAAGAAAACTTATATATATATCAGAAGGAACAATTATTTTTCTTTTTCTGTTCTTTCCTAGTATTTTTTTAACATTACACTATGATGACGTCATCTCCCCTTCGTGGTGCACTGTTTAAGAAAATACCAGGAGAGAATAGAAAAAAGAAAAACAATTGTTTCTTCATATATATAAAAATTTTCTTTTATAAAACGTTAGTGTTGAAAGCGTCACTATATTGTTTTTTCTGAAAGAAATAAGTGATTGATGAACTTGTTTGTCTTGTTATATAGATATATCTAAGTGATTTGTTAATGTTTATTTACATCTTGAGGGTATGAGTGTGGAGAAAAATGAGAGTAAAGAAAGCCTGCTATCTACATTAACCGAAACCTACATCTACCTATGTCTGTTATGTTGACAGAATAAAGTGATAAATTTATTTGAGATATTGAAATTTATGATTAAATATGTATTTATTATTTAATATAAAGAAGAAGAGGATATTATTTTTAGAAATGAAAGGTTGAAAAAGAACTTGAATAAATAAAAGTTTTTAGAATAAATATTTGTCAATAATAAAACAGTGTGTGAAATGTTTTTAGCATTGATTTAAAAAAACATTCAAAGTATTGTCATAAGTAACAGCAGCAATATCTATTTTTCCATCTCGATTAAAATCTCCAGTTGTAACAGCAGTAGCATACGACGAATCGGTGGTCAATCTTTGATATGTTTGAAATTTTCCATTTTGTTTATTTAAGAAAATATAAACATATTTGTCACCCCAATTTGCAGCAATAATATCAATGAATGTATCATTATTTAAATCAGCTAATGCAACTGACATTGGAGTTCCACCGATATAATATGTGTCCCGTCTATTAAAGTTTCCATATCCATCATTTAACAAAACATTTAATGCAGATGAACCATAATTAGTAATAACTATATCTATAAAATTATCATTATTTAAATCAGCAGTGGCTAGACCCCATGGCTCAACACCTGTGAAATATGTTTTTCTATTCTTAAACATTCCATTTTT